AGTTTGCTGTTATGCCTTATCATACCATTCATGACAGAATTGATTTTCTGCCACAATAACATAGAGAATGATTATTTCTATAATTACATTCCCTACTGATCACAAGAAATTATGCAGATAATGAAGCTTGATATATGTCCAGTAGCAAAGCAAGGCGCCATCTCTGCATTTGCTCAAAGAATCAGGGAAACTGGATGAAAAACCTAATCGAAAAGGGGGCCACTGATCCAAAAGCTGGGGTACCATTCTTTTTACAGGCATATTTAGTCTTTCACAATTATTTGATACAAACAGCAACTAACACATTAAAGATAATTATTAAAATTAATATTATTCTCCCGTTCAGCTTCTTAACAATATTCCTTTGACTTTTGACTTATGGAGGGTAGCAAAACATTTCTGTGTGCGCCATGTTATCATTTAAGAAAAAAATATTTACAATAAAATTCACTGAAAGGGTTTTTGTTCAAAAAAATTAAATTATAATCTTGATCTTTCAATATTGCACATGGTACATTTTAATACTCATCTGCTGTGAAATCACAGAGATCAGAAAGTACCTACTGGCCACTGGTGGGAATTAATTATGTGAAGACACAGTCTTCAAAAATATGTCTCCCTTATCATAAGTTGTTTATTTTTCTCAATTATGAAGTAATTTGAATTTCCCAAATTCAGAGGATTCTTTGAATAAATGGAAAAGTGAAAAACTCATAAATGTAGATTTCCTCTCACAACTTCAGAGATGAATTCACAAGGAAATAATAGTGAGGGTTCACCAATTAATCTGAATTTTGGCATATACATTGGTCAAGAAATAAAATTGCTGTTGTCCTTGTAGTTGAGAACAAAGATTTCTCAAAACAGGGGTGCACCATTTCCTATTGGACAAAGCCAAATGCAATCATCCTAAAGAAAAACTAGTTGGACAAAATTTTGAAAACGTAGCAAATTGAAGTGAATACTAATTTATTAGCTGCCCGGGCTACCAACCCTTATTACTTGAATTTATTCAGAGTCGTCTCTGATGTAAATCAGCTGTTTCGGTCATAAATGAAGAGTCAGACGCAGCTTTGAATAAATCGCTGTACAGCAAATTTAAATCGACAGTCCTTTCGGATTTCAAATCGGTGGACGATACGTGGTTGCCAGACAGATGACGTACCTGCTTCCAGGAGCGCTTGTCGGATCCGGGGCTGGAGCTGCAGGCGCGTCCGTTCTCCTGGTGCGCCAGCCCGAAGACGGGCATCGGCGAGTGAGCCGGGTGCAGCTCGGGGTTGTACATGAGGCGCTCCACGGGCACGAGGCCCACGCCGGCGCCGTTGGCCAGGCCGGCGGCCACGAGGCGGTGGTGCGGCGTGACGGGCGGCTGCGCCAGGATGCGCGCCAGCCGCGACCCGCCGCCCAGCCCGTTGGCCAGCCCTTCCGCCGCCGCCGCCGCCGCCACGTGGGCGCGCCGAGCGGCGCGGGCGACGGCGAGCGCCGCGTAGTTCGGAACGAGCACGCACGAGGTGCTGCTTGTAGAGCGGCGGGCTGGAAGGGCAAGCACGCCGCGCAGTGCGGGCGGTGGGGCTGCGCGACGACGAAGGACTTGCGGCTCAGGTTCATTGGCGCCTCTCCCGGAGTCGGAGTGCGCGGCGGCCGACGCCGTGCCGCAGGGGCTGCGGACGGTCGACGCCACACCCGACGGCCCTGCGACTTCTTGGGGAAGGTCGAGCGGGCTCGGCCGCGGGCCCCAGGGCGACGGGGACCCGCCGAGTAGGGGCCCAGGGTTTCATGGCCCTGCAGTGCATCGGCGACGGCTGCTGGCCGGAAGGCACGACGGACCGCGGCGGCGGTGTGGGCGAGTACGCGGCGCGCGGCGGCGGGGCGGCGGCCGCCGCCTGCATGTACGCCACCTGACGGCACGACGAATGGCAGGTAGGCAACGTGCACGAGGCGGCCCTCCGCGGCGGTCGCCGCGCGCGTGCGTGTTCTGGAATCACAACCTGCACCCACGCGCCACCGGGAAGCCGATCTTCTCCGCGATGCGCACCAGCAGTCGTCCTTCTTCGGGGCGCGGGTTGACGCGCGTAGTGGCTCTTGAGCACCCACCACTGCTCGTCCGAGAGAGCGAGCGCACGCGCACCTTTTTGCGCCCGTCCTCCGACGCGCTGTGGTCACGCACCCGGCCGCCGGCGTCGCCTCAGCTCTCCTCCTCCGTGACCGGTCTGCCCGAGCCGCGCCCGCCCTCGCCGTCGCCTCTCTCGTCGCTGCCGCTGTATCAGTTATTTGAATTTAACTGGAACACACGTTACAGACAAGTCTCATCTTTATGCACCGTCTTGTATTATGCGTTACACATGTCCTTATTCTGTTTCATGCAAGCCTCTTTGAGTCCCGCCAGCGACCATTCACGGACCAAATTGCTATACGCTGCGAGTATCCGGAGCTCTAACCATGCGCTGGAGAGATACTAATGCCTGCCACTACAGGTATGCGCTCTTAGAGAGACTACAGGCCTGTGGATGAGCAGCTCTGATTCGTTGTACCGCCCACAAACACGCAATCACCTTGAGGCAGAAAACTCGACTACGTCGCTCCTTGACCGTACGAACAGAGCTGAGAGGAGATCGAACTGCAATCGGGCTTAGCACTGTACGCCGATACTCAGTATATCAGTGCATCCGAAGACTTGCGCTCACCTCTCGGCGCTGTGCGGAGATCATAGCTGGCCTACGCTGAGGCGGTGACGACTCTCCGTGCCAGGGGACGGCGACGACAGCTTCTTCATGTTGGCCTCGAACAGCTGCTTGGTGTACGGAGGCTTCAGCCGCTGCAGGATGCGCTTCACGGCCTCCAGCTCGCGTCGGCCTCGCGCGCCCTCCGGCGGGCGCGCGCCTCGCCTCCGACTTGAACCGCGCGCCGCCGCCGCCTGCCTCTCCTCTCCTCCTCTCCGCGTCCTCCTTGTCCCGCTTCTCCTCCTTGACGAGGAGGCGGGCGTGGCGCGCATCTCCTGTCCTCGTGCAGCTGCGGCGCCGCCGCTTCTGTCCTCCGGTCGGCGGCGGGGCCGCCGCGTCCTCACTCTCCTCCTTCTCCACCTTGACGGGGGCTCGTCCTAGGCGAACGGGCTGCCGCGCCGCTTGGCGTGGTCCTCCTCCATGCTCTCCGCGTCGCCCAGCGCCTCCTCGCCGCGCCGGAAGCGGTCCTCGTCGGGCGAGAGCAGGTGCGCCGGGGCCAGCTGCTCCAGGATGTTGCTGAGGGACTGCGGCAGCTTGTACGGGTTGGGGAGGTGCATGGAGTGCGGCATGTAGAACGGGTAGTGCGGGGCCGGGTGCGGGTGCGGGGAGGCGGGCGGGTAGGCGCCGCCGGGCATGCGCGGGGCCACCGCCTGCAGGAAGGCGGCGGCGGCCGCGGCGTCGTTGTACTTGGGCAGGATGGGCGCGAACGCCGGGTTGTTGTTGTTGTTGTTGAGGTGCGGGTGGTGCGGCGGGGCCGCCAGCCCGTTGGCCGTGGGGCTGGACGCGGCGTTGGCGCCGCGCTTGGGGCCGCGAGGGCCGCCGCCGCCGCACTTGTCCACGAGGCCGCCCGCGCCGCCGCCGCTTCCGGCCGGGGTGCGGCCGCGCCCCACCTTGAGGTTCATGACGAGACACTTCTTGGACGTCATGTGGCTGGAGTACGAGCCCGAGTGCGAGAAGCGCTTGCCGCAGTTGGCGCACTCGAAGGGCTTCTCGCCGCTGTGGATGCGGATGTGCTCCTGAGGGCAGAAAGGGCCGGGGGTGAGCGCGCTGGGCGAAGGGTGGTGGGCGGGCGCCACCACCGGAGAGAGGTACTCGCTGCAAAGGGATTGCCAAGGCCCTGCGTTCTACACAGGTTTTCCACTACATCATGAATTGAATACCTACTCCATTAAAATTTTAGTAATAACTACTCGTACAAATGAAATAACTTTTCTTCTATTTTTTATTTATTTATTTATCTATTTTATTTATTTATTTATTTATTTATTTATTTATTTATTTATTTATTTATTTATTTATTTATTTATTTATTAATTTTGCAAACAACGTCTTTTGTGAAGAAAGGTTTTATAATTCTTCGCCTAAGAAGAACTAAATATTATTTCTGAAATATAGATTCCCGATACTACGCAATGGCTCATTACAATGTTAAGTTTGCATAGTCTGAAATCAATATAATCGTCAAGAATTCAATTTCATGTTTCATCCAATTTTGAGTACTCAATTTCAGAAATCTTTACTAATTCAACTTGCTTATGCACATGGCTTATTTACTAGGTTTTTACATTTACTAGGTTGCACATGGCTTATTTCCAGTTTGATTTGAGCAAAACATCGACACAACTTTCGGAATCTTTAAATTCCTGATTCGTTTATCAAATTAAGCCGCGTAAATTCTGCAAAAATCTCGTATCGTTACATGACGAGACATAACTACATATATACCAAAAAATTTCATATCGATTACAATGGAACATTTGGATATCCTACCGCAATAAATTATGAAATAAATACAATAAATTGTTCCGTCAATGAACTTGGCAATGCCTCCGAAACAAGTAGTCTCTCTCTCATACCATGAAAAAGAAAAAAAAATGTTATACCAGAATAGAAAGCACCAAGCCAAATATGCAGCAAATACAGTTACATCTGAAAGACAGAGATGCGACCAGGACACAAAGATACTTACCGAGCCGCGAAGTAACAGTGGCAACAGCTATATACAAGAAGGCAGATGCAGCCACTTCTTATTCACAAGCGGCCAAGCGACACTAATGTTATCATGCAAGCCCAGCAACCGAACGTGCAAGCTACATACGCTTTCCTTTTTAAAAAGGTTGCTACACTTCTGCACATTTCAAGTCTTCTAGAACATAGTTCCTAGGAAGAGTGACACGAAGGAGAGATTATACACCGAGTTAAACCTCTTCCAATAAAAACCCCTTTTACGGAAACGAAAAATCATGCCTCGTTCGCATGCACTCACATGAAGAACCTGGTCTCTCCGTCCAGGTCGGCGGTGGCCGGCGGCTA